AACAGAGTGGGGGTATTAGTTTGCTTGCGTTGCTGTTGCAAGAGCTCTGAAGACAGATGCTTTGTAATGAGGTTCATCTAGCACAGTCTGGTGTCCAAGAGCACAGTGCTGGCACTTTGCTGTCACACCTCGGTGGCGAAGCTGCAGGGGCTCAGCATGCAGAGCAGCCTCACCCAATAACAACCCCGGCAGCTCACACCTGTAATCCTAGCTACTCAGGAGGCTGAGATCAAGAGGATCACAGTTTGAAGCCAGCCTTGGGCAAATAGTTCTACGAGACCCTGTCTCCAAAACATCCAAAACAAAAAGGGTCGGTGGGGTGACTCAAGCCGTAAGAGCACCTGCCTAACAAGCTTGAGGCTCTGAGTTCAAACCACAGTAATTAAAAAAAAATAAAACCCACTCTTGATAGAACTGTCTGGGTCCTATAAGAACAACATCAATCCTTTCCAAGAGCCATGCCTGCAGGACCAAATGACCTAATTACCTTTTCCCTCCATCAGGCCCCAACCTCACCTGCTCTTTCTCCTGCATGCTAGACAAGTGCTGTACCACTGTGCTACAGCCCTAGGCCCCCCTCCCGTGTGTGTGTGTGTGTGTGTGTGTGTGTGCACGCGCTGTGTGTACTAGTGTTTGAATTCAGGGCCTTACAATTGCTAGGCAGCCACTTTACAGCTTCACACGTGTTCTTTGTAGCTAGGATTACAGGTGTGTGCACCATAGCTGCCTTATTAACTGGGACAGAGTCTCCCTAACTTTTTGCTGGGCTGGTCTTGATCCTCCTGATCTCTGCCTACCAAGTAGCTGGGATTACAGACACCTAGCCACCCTGCCAGGCTAGGGCCTACTTCTTCTTCTTCTTTTTTTTTTTTTTTGAAGTACTGGGATATGAATTCAAGGTCTGTACCTTGAGCCACTCCACCAGCCCTTTTTATGAAGGGTTTTTTCGAGATAGGATCTCAAGAACTGTTTGCCTGTGCTGGCTTTGAACTGTGATCCTCTTGATCTCTGCCTCCTGAGTAGCTAGGATTAGAGGTGTGAGCCACCAGCACCCAACTAGGCCCTACTTCTTAGAAGATCTGCCACCTCAGGACCACCACACTAGGGATGAAGCTTTCAGCACATGAACCTTTGGAAGACACTGAATTCATATCCAGACCAGACCAGTAGCTGACAGTATTTAAATACACATTTAAGGACTGGGGTGTAGCTGGAGTGGTAGAGTGCCTGCCTACTAAGATAAGGCCCTGAGTTCAAATTTCAGTCCTGCTACACATATATGTATTTAAAAATACAGCAATGGGGCTGGGGTTGTAGTTCAGTAGAAGAGTGCTTGCCCACTCTGTGCAAGGCCCTGGCTTCCATCCCCAGCACTGAAACAACAACAGAAATGTAGCAGGTCACAACACCTAGCATTTTAGGGGCACTTTACAAATACTGTACTCATGTTTTTTTTTTTTTGAGATGTTGTCTTGCCAATACAGCCCAGGCTAGCCTTGAATTTGAGATCCTCCTGCCCCAGTGTTCCAAATGCTAAGATTACAGAAGTACACTACCATACTTAGCTGTGTTCAAGCCTTATAAACACTGGTTCATTTAATTTAAGATGATCAGTAAATGCAAGTGTCTGTCCTTTAATCTGCAAAGGATGTACAGTTGTCATTTGTAAAAGAATTCTTGAAAAGCATCCAATATTGGGCTGGGGGTGTGGATCAAGCAGTAGAGCACTTACCTAGCAAGTGTGAGGCCTTGGGTTCAAGTCCAAATAAAAATAATAATAATTTTCTGACACACTAAGAAAAGAAGTTAGGGCTTGAGCACAGCAGTGCACACTTATAATCCCAGCACTTGGGGAACTGAGGCAGGAGGAGTATGAGGTTGAGGTCACTCTGGGATACACAGCAAGTCTTTGTCTCAGAAAACCTAAACCCCAAAGCACCTAGCGTTAGGACCAATTGTGTGCAAGTGTGAAGCCCTGAGTTCAAACCCCAGTGTCATCAAAAACAAAAAAAAAAGCCAAGTGTGTGGAAAATGATACTGCTGTGTAAAGAAACATGAGTTCATGACTTTTAGGTACAGTAAAGTGCCACACAATTACAGCTGCTTGTGGGGACGGACTCTTTCAAAGGAGATCTTAATGTCTGTTCTCTCAGGTACAAATACAGTCCCAGTCCCCTATTAGTTCAAAATCTGATACTGCAGGAGGAATTGGAAGTCCTTTTCCTGCATACATGCTTACGTTCAGGGATGAACCTAAGAGTCTACAGAGACGAAGAGGCAATTTTTCTTATTTATGGCCAGGGAAAGTAGCATGGATTCTGCTGTCTGGGGAGCACACTGAGCGAGTGGTCCTACCTGTGCCCCTCCTCCTGCAGCACCCAGCCCTCCAGAGCTCTGCCACGGTCACTGTGGAGATGGGGCTGGGTACCGAGGAGATGTGGACGTTTAGATCCAAGTGCTGTTGACCATGAGTGAGTAACTGTTTCTAAACAGCAGTTTTCTCGTCTATAGAATTAGGGAAACAACACCCTCAGGTTAGGGGTTTTGTGAATACTATGAAATTAATCACACTGAGCAAGTAGGGCAGGGCCTTGCCTTTGGTATTTGTAAATGACTGTTGTCATTACTGTGTCATTCACATGTCCTCTACGGGCAGGGCAGGCCGTCAGAGTTAGCAAAGAAAAACCCCGGATATTGCCCAGCTACTCAGGGGGTGGAGGTAGGAGGATCACAGTTCATTTCCAGCTGGGCAAAACCATAGAACTGTATTTGAAAAGCAAACTAAAAGCAAAAAGGACTGGAGGTGTGGCACAAGTGATAGAACACCCACTTTGCAAATGCAAAGCCCTGAGTTCAGACCCCAGTAATACCAAAAAACAAAAAAAAAGTAACGCAAGCTAAAAGGATGAGCACGTGACTCAAGCAGTACCAAGCCCAGACCCACCAAAATATAGGATAGTCAGTTAAACTTGAATTTCTGACAGACAATAGTAATTTTCTAACATAGCCTTGTCTCAAATATTGCACAAAACAGACTTATTCTAAGTGATTATCTATTTGAAATTCAAGTTTAAGTGAGCATTCTGTGTTTTATTTGGCAAAGCAACTTTACCTTTAAGAGAGAAACTTAGGTTTAGTAAAATTAACGCACAGGGAATATAACTGTGATTGTTGGATATTTCATCTGCTCACTTTCATAGGTCAATACCCCCAATACAGGCAGTATTTCCTCTTCCAGGTAATGCTCAAGTATCATCTATCAAAAGAAACAAATAGTTCCCATACTTGGAATAGAATGTAAAAACTTCATCAAATAGAAATCTATTGGATCCGGTTACTGTACTGACCTAAGTCGTGGGTTTTGAAACTGTTTACTGAATTATATTTGGATTTAAATCTGTACTTGGAAAACCACAAAGCACTAAGTATGAAAGTCACATTAATGGCCACTAAAAAAATACAAACTACAAATCCCAGACAGCAGCCAGGATCTGTGAAACTAGATTTCATAATGTTCTCGTTTGCCAGGTTTTCTTTGTGCACGCCAGCAAATTTCTCAGTGTGCTTTTTATTAGAACACACACACATGAAAAGAGTAAGGCAGATGAGTTTGATAATATTTCAGATTCTAAATTAAAGAGCTTGTAATCAACTCGACCAGTATTTTTGCTCTCCTCTAAATTGCAGTTCAATTTTTTTTTTGGAGATAAACACAGTTAACTATTCCATTCCTTAGTTCTGTTGCAAGCTTGCCTAGAATCTAAAGAAATGCATTCTGGTCTGCTTGGTGTTTCACTATTTGTAATACCAATTAACTCTACAAAATACTTTTGCAAGCTTTTGGTGTTATTAGCTCAAAAAGAACTGGATTTTTATTCTTTCTAAAGACACATTTATCAATTGTATTCTTTTAAATACAAAAAAAAAGAGCATTCCCAACAGGGTGCGTGCCTTTCATTCATAATTTTTATTTATCAGACTGTGCTCCATTTCCAAAACAATACCGCAGCTTCTGCACCAACTCCTCTTCAAGGGTTCTGATCCAGTCCGTACTCTTCAGCTCCATCTCCCGTAGGAAAGTGTCGCCTGCACCCTGGGCCCCGCCCCGGGCCGCGTCCACGCGGGTAACATTTCAGCATCCCCGCTACATGGAGTGTTGCGTCCGTGTCGGTGAAGAGCTGGAGTGTCCGAGCCCAAACAGGAGACCTTTTAGTGGACAGGACACTCAGGATTTCATTGAGAAATTCAAGTGACTCTGGAGACACACCCTGTTCTCCGTTTCATTAACACTGGCATTTTAGAATGAGATTCTCCTTGACCCCGGATGAATTGATTCCTGGCTGAATCTTTCCCAAAAGAGCCACGTGAGGACATCCTGTGCGCAACAAGCGGGGTTGCTGACACTCGGCTAACCCCCACGAGGCCCTCCTGCAGGGTGTCTTTCAGAATCGTCATAGAGCCCAAGGGAGACCATCTGAGGTGAAGTCCCCTGCTGGGTGGGGACAACCCAGGTCGCCAGCAGTCCTTTCCGTGCCCTCTGGATCCTGAGTCTCCGCAGAGCCTGGGCGCTCCTAGGAGATCCAGCCGTCCACTTGGGAAGCCTGCGGGACGGGGACGATCACCTTTTGCTTGTTGTCACCGTGCCTTGTTACTAAACCACTCTGGTTTTCCCAGCGTAGCTGTGGCGTCCTCGCACCAGGGCCACTGCCGCGCGCCAGGCTCCAGCCCGGCCGTGGGCGGGGATGTGGGCGGGGCCTGGGGGAGGGAGCAGCGTGTGGGCGGGGCCAGTCAGGGCGGGGCGGGGCGCACTCTCCACTCAGACTCCGCCCAGCCGCGCGGGCGGTGCGGGGGGGCGGGGTGAAGGGGGCGGGGAGGAGGCGACGGCGCGGGCAGGCAGCGCGGCGATTGGCTGCGGCGGGGCGGAGACGTCAGGCTTCCCGCGGCCGGAGCGGCGGCCCGGCGCGGCGCGGCGCAGTCAGCTCGAGTTGGTCGTGTGAGGAGCATCTGCCCTCGGCCTGTGCCGCCGTCGCCGTCGCCGGGCTGCGCTGCTAGAACCGGGACGCGCCGCCGCCGCCGCCGCCGCGCTCCTCGCCGCCTCCTCCACCCCCGCGGCCGCCGCTCCCTTCGCCGTCCGCGCCCCCACCATGACGAAGAATGAGAAGAAGTCCTTCAACCAGAGCCTGGCCGAGTGGAAGCTCTTCATCTACAACCCGACCACCGGAGAGTTCCTGGGGCGCACCGCCAAGAGCTGGGGTGAGCGGCGGAGGAGCGGGCAAGGGAGGGGAGGCCGAGGGGAGGGAGGTGGCCCCGGGGTCACCGCAGCCCCGCCTCGCGCTGGGCGGCGGCCCCATTCATTTCTCGCGGGGCGACGACCGCTGCGCCCGAGACGCACCGCCGGGCCGCGCCGGCTCCGGCTCCGGCTCCGGCTCGTGCTCGCGGCCGGAGCGGGGCGCACGTGCTGCGGGGCTTCCCGCCGCCTCCGGCGCCGGAAGCCGGGACCGTGCCCCGGGTGCACGGGAGGCCGAGCCGGGGCCTCCTTTGTACGGAGCGCGGCCCAGCCTGACCCGATCCGATCCGATCCGATCCGACCCGGCCCGGCCCAGGCGCCCCGCGGCTCGGGGAGAGGAAATTTCCACTCCCCCGCAGCTTGTGACTCGCGCGCGCGGCCGCCCCGACGGCCCCCGGGATTGCGAGCGTCGGCTTGTGGGTTTTTTTTTTTTTTTTTTTTTTTTTTGCATGGACGAGTGAGTGGCGGTGACTTGAGCACACAGTAACGTTGTGCGTGGATGCACTTGAACTCAGACTGCGAAGGCCCCAAGCCTGGGGGCCTCCCTCCTCCTCCTCCTCCTCCCCGATTGCAGCAGCAGCGCCTTTCTGCCTTCCAAGGGGGGAAAGTCGATCCCATCTGACCGCGGTGTGTGAGGTCCTCTCCGCGACCTCTTTGTTTTAAAAGAAATCATTAAGCCATCAACTACGTGTAGTGTTGCCTTAAGATGCTTGTTTGTTTGTTTGAAAAATTACATTCGTGAGTGAGATGGATCAGTGCCTCTTTTTTTTTTGGCCTGGAGTAAACTCATTTTACCTTTTTAAAAAATCCTATTAAAAAATTTTGCTAGTGGATCTTGATTGACCTGCCTACCCACCCTCCCTTCTCCTGCTGCCTCCCTCTTCCCGGAAAATAGAGAGTTGAGAACGATTGGGGCAAGACTTTTAAGAGAAGCAAGAAGGGAGTAAATGAGCTATGACTCAAAATAAACTCGCTGCTCACCGAAATGAGCTCCTTAGGGTGGAAGGCGACTTGAAGTCCAGTCCCCAGCTCAGAGGAACCTTGGGAAGGTTTTAGCCCCCAACCTCCACTTCAGAGATGAGGAAAATGATACCCAGAGAAGTGGTGATTTTTGCCTGTGCAAAATTACATGTTCTGCAGAGCCAAGAAAAGAGCCCCGTTCTTTAACCCTAGACCAGTGGTTGTATTGTTTTACAGATGCCTTACTGCATGGTGATTGCTCGGGATTTTTAAATTGCTATCTTCTTTTGAGAACTCACAGTGTGATGAAGAAGTAAATCCTGTATCCAGAGTTAAATGAGGAAAAAAAGATGAATGCTTATAACCGTTGGTTGCTTGTTTCTAGAGTGTATTTTTACTGAAGAAATTTCCTTCCTCTGTGTCCTCTCATTTCTAGCACCAGTATCCACATGGTTGGATTGACCTTTCTTCCTGCACAGTGTGCTTTTTAAAAAGCCTTTGTATCAGATGGTCTTGGTGGAGATTTCATTGAAATATGCAGTTATGAGATAACATGGACAGGTTATCGCAGTATAAGGGTGAAGTAAGTGCTGTGCTGTGGCAGTGCATACAAGAACAGTTCGGGATTCGGTTTAGAAGGATTAAGGCAAAATCTATATGACTCTTAGGAACAAATTGTAAATTTCTGTTTGTTGAAATAATTGTAAACCAGTGTGGAATGGCATAGATAGGTGAAAATTATTCCCAACATGAGGCATCCTTGCAAGGCTGTGTGGGCGACTGGTGAGAGGAGTCTGGAATCCTCAGTCTACCAGGCTGCAGGGCTGGAGCATAGCGGAGTCTGCCTGGAGATGGGGCATGCCATTGTAATTCTCCAAAGGCAAGTCTGTTGGGGAGAGAGAAAGAGTGAGTGAGTGAGTGAGTGAGTGAGTGAGTGTGTGTGTGTGTGTGTGTGTGCGCGCGCGCACGTGTGCCTACTGGCATCCAGGTCCCGGACAGGCCAGCTGCCTGATCCCACCACTTAATACTGGTGTATGTCTTTCTGAAATGTGTATAACATTTAATTTCTTAAACCAAGGAGATTAAACAATTTAATCTTCTGAGTATATTGTGAGCAACTTCCCATGTGAATTATCTATACCACCATTTTTATTGATATTTTGAAATTGAGTTACCAGTCTCATTATATAGTTACACATGTTATGATTTTTTTCTTTATCACATGCACTGGTCCTTCTGTTCCCTTCCCCCTTACAAAATAAATTTTTGCCCATTTGTTTCCTTGGTGGAATTTCTAGGCCATGTATTCATTCATATATATGTGTGTTATATATATATATATATATATATATATGTATATATATTCACATACATTATATATAAATTTCTCTTTTTTTTTTTTTTTTTTTGATGGTAATGGGGTTTGAACGCAGGACCTACAGCCTTTAGCCACTCCACTAGCCCTTTTATTTTGTGATGGTTTTTTTTTTTTTTTTTTATAGGATCTTGCAAACCATTTGCCCAGGCTGGCTTCAAAATGCAATCCTCCTGAGTAGCTAGGATTACAGGCGTGAGCCACTGGCACCAAGCCTGCCTATTAGATTTTGAAAACTTGTTCTCATGGTACCTTCCTCAAAGTTTCTGTCAGTTTATACTCCCACCAAAGTGTATAGTGGTTTCTTATACCCTCATCGACAGTTAAGCTATTCTTATCTGTTATCATTTTTTTAAACTTACGTTTTTTGATAACAGCTTTTTTAAAAGGGAAAAGTCCTGTCTTGTTTCTGCACTTTTTTTTTCTAATTGTCTTCCCCGCTTTTATCATAAATGTAAAGCAGGTGGTAGAAAAATTGCATCTTTTTATTGACTTGTAAGGTCGCTGGGTCTGCTGGCATGCAGAAGCATCCCAGGACTTTTGTTTTCTGTTTTTGATTGAGACAAGGTCTTTCTGCCTCCATCTCCCAAGTGCTGGAATTACAAGTGTGCACCACCGCGTCCAGCATTCCCAGGATTTATAAAGGCAGACGTTCATTTACAGTTTTCCTGGTTTTTAAGTCTGTGGTATGATTGTCTCATTTTAATCTGCGGTGTTTCCCTTCAGGTGGGTTAGATATAGCAAAAGCACAAATGTTTAAAAAGCAATTTTGCTCTAAACATTTTGGATAAAGTGAAAATATTACATGTTATATTACATTGCCTTATTTAAAATAGCTCTAAAGATTTTAAATAGCTGAGTTCTTTTATATTTGGCTAGTATCTTACACTTGGTTACAGTAGTTTCAAAATGCTTATACACAGTCACTTCATTCGACTTCTACAACAGCCCTGTAAAGCTGTGAAAGTGCATCTGAAGCTGACTTCTCAAGCTCAACAGTAAGTATGCCTCAGGAATAAGCAGTTGTCATTTTTGACAACATAGGACAAAGAAAATTCAGCACCTACTGTAATGCCGAAAATATGAAATGACTTCCTATGCATTGAATACAATTAGAGTCAAAGTGAGTTGTTTAGAAATCAGCCAGTGTTACTGAAATGAGGTAGGTGGTGTAATTGCGCTGGTTTGGAACTAGAAATCCTCCTGCCTCTGCCTTCCAAGTGCTGGGATTCCAGGCATGCACCACCATATCCCTGGCACAACATTTTTTAAATGATCAAATATGGTAGTAAAAAAATCAGCTTGTTCTGTTAAGTTTATCTAAGAAAGAGTGTTTCCTAAAGTGCTTGTGTATTTTGTACATACAGATACCCTGATATAAAATACATTTCTTACAGTGGCTCAGTCAAAAATTACACTAAATTGGTGGGAAAATGGAAAGTATAGCTCTCTGATTTGCCAGAATTCACAGTGACAAGTGATAGAATCCTTGGGCCTACAGATTCCAAGCGTAGCTTTTGCTGTGCCATGTGTGATATTTAAAGACTAGTGCTGCATGGAGGTTCTTTGGAATTCACTATCTTTATTTAGGTTGTCAGTCAGTGCTGAAGATTAACATTAATTTAAAACTTGGGTTTCTGATTTCCAAGCATAGTCATGATTCTGGATCAAAACTGTTAGCACCAGTGTTTTGTTCGTGCATTCTTTCTTTTATTGTAGGTCCATGCGGTGTCATTTTCTCAGTAACTGAGCTCTCATTCTGAGTCATACCTTGGTAGACATTGTGCTTTGAAGCACAGACTCCATTCCATACTGCCCCAGTGCCACGGAGCTCATAAGGTGGTGTCATGGTCCTGAGGGTATGTGCACCTGTGGGAAGGTAACGGTTTGCCTTACCTTGTGCATAGGTTATAAGTGTAGGCTAGTGGTGGGGGGTGGCAGCAGCAGAGCGTGTACCGAACCATCACCTCCAGGAGCAGGTCAGCGCTTCCTGGGTTATCCAGGAAGTACTGTAGTGGAAGGGAAGTGCCATTGTAATTAGAGCAGTATGTGCTTGAATGTTGAGACCTATGGGCTTTGGGCGTGACTCAAGCAATAGAATGCTTGCCCAGCACTCGTGAGGTCCTGGGTTCAGTCACCACACCACAATTTTGAAATACAGTTTTTTTTTTCAATCAAGCATTATGTTAATTTTGAAGTAAAATCCTCTCTAATCTTTAACCACTTAGTATGACCACTATTAACATTTTTAAGACTTTTCTATATGTAAATAAAAATTTAAAACATAAAGTTTCAAAATAGACGGTTTTATCACAAAATGTTCAGGCGAGTGGTTTTTATTCTTCTGCCTTTTTCTTAGAGGTTGATCCTTGGCTCTTGGCCCTCTTCATCATCTTTGAGGACTTCATTTACACACTTCCTAGCTGCTTTAGTTTCTTTCTTCTTTATAAAGCGGTTTTAGTTTCTCTCTGCTGGGACCCCCAACTATGCAAGTCTAGTCATTGCTTTTTCTTTTGGTGGTACTGGGGATTGAACTCAGGGTCTTGAGCTTGCTAGACAGGTGCTCTACCACTTGAGCCACCCCACCAGCTGGCCTCAGACCAAGACTCTCCTACCTCCCCCTGCTTCACG